CAAACTCCACGCACTGCCTCTTTAATTCCTCAGATCAAAATCATCCGCAATCCCTTTGCTCATAAACCTTTGAAGTTAAAGTCTTCGATGAGAAGATTTCACGTTGTCCTGAAGCCGGACAGTGCGTGACTGCTTCATGAAGCAGGAACCTTTTCAAACTTTAGGGAAACTAAAGCAGGATTATTGCATTCCACATCCCTCACAAGGTTTCTATGACGTGTTCAAGCTGGATTCCGAGCATTGTGGGCGCTACCTGCAAATCATTTGTGGGAGGCTCCTATCTCTTCAGGCCCGGGTTGTCTGGAGAACATAGGGGTGAATGCCAAAATATGGGCGGGGGTGCCCGAAGGATCCTCGGATACCTCTTGGAGACCTTGGTTCTGGCACATGCCCTAAGTACAGGCACCAATAATTCTTGGCAACCCCCACAAAGCCAGAGGAACCAACTTGGGAGTTCCTGAAAATTTGAAGCCTTCTTTGCTATAGCTTCTTCGGGGGCCTATAAGGGACCCCTCATTATGAAAACTACCTCTGATACATCAGAATCAGCATGCGCGAGAGCTTCTTATCAAGATAATGTGAGTGGGGAGGCCCATTATCAATTCCTATTGCAATCAAGACCTCAACCCTGAACCCCGGTACTGACATGGATTTGTTAAGAGCTGTCATACCTGCAGGCTGATCACGCATACCGTCAGTTTGCCAGCCGTATGAGAAGAGGGGGTCCGCTGTGGGGGATTAAAACAGGGGAAGCTAAGTTCGACAAATGTCCTTCTACAATCCTTATATAATCCCGGTAGACCGCCTTCTAGACATCCACACCCCCAACAAATTCCTGCCGGCGTTGCTGGACAAGGGTCACTTTGGCCTACTCACAGCTTCACACAGCTTCATATTCTACCAGCAGGAAGACTTTGGTGATCCAGTGGGTCGTCTTGATCAGCCACGCGGCGCTTGTTAGGGTTTAGGCTTCCAAGGTACCTGCATGTCAGGCATTAGCTAGGATCAGGGGTTAGGGTTTGAAGGTTTAGGGCCTCAAAACCCACTTACCTACGAGCAGGAGGTTTCCAGACGTGGGAAGGAGAATCCTATCACGTAACTGACCGGGCTTTTGGAACAGTTCAGGCACACCCCTAAGGCCTAAACCGCGATTTGGGGTGTAGGGCTAAGGATGCGCAACCATCATTGCTACAACTACAGGCCGTCACTGCATAGCCTCTTTTGTACATCACCTCCCGCCTATGACTGCAGAACTTCCCTCCCTTCGATGGAGTGCGCTATGCCCATAAACCTCCTCGAGTAGATAGAAGTTGGGGTATAATTATAGGGAGCTTGCTATCGTGGTGAAATATTCTATCCACATAAGGGGTACATCAGCTCCCGCCTA